CTCTTGCTGTTGCTGACCTCCTCACCCACCACAGAACTCTCGACAGCCTTCCCTCTACTGAGTGAGTTCTCAGAACCCTTCAGTGGCGGCTCTGCGCTCTCACTGGCTCTCTCTTGTTAAATCCCAGAGCTGGGTGGGGGCCTCCCTTGGCTTCAGCCGTGGACCTGTCAGGGGTGGTGATGACCCTCACTGACAGTCTGCTTCTTCATGGGAAATCAGAGAGGTTGTGAGGACACCCCTTCCCCTCCTGTTGCTCTTCTCTGGGTTCCTGAGAATTCGTTGCCATGGGCTCTGCCCAAACCAAGATTCCCTGCCACTCCCCCCTGGGCTGTCTCCTTAGAAACCCTTGCCCTCTCCATTTGTCTCCAGATCTCAAATCTCCCAAACTCGTCTTCTATAGTAACACAGCCTGGCCCCGATATAAATTAGATAATGACTCTTCTGGCACCTCTTGGCCMGAGAATGGGACTTTCAATCCAACGTTATACAGGATTTATACAATTTCTGTCTCTGCAGTGGCAGGTTGACGGAAATCCACTGTCTTCAAGCCTTCTCTTTTCTTCACTTTCGTTCCTCTTTGTGTCACTCCTGCTCCCCTGTGCAGGACCTCCTTGCTCGCTCTCCCTTATCCCCCTCACCTCCCAATCCTAGCCGCAAGATCACTCTTCACTTTCTCAACCTCCACCCTATGCTCCTCTGTCACCTCGCCCAGCCATACCTTCATCAACTCACTTGGAGGCCCCTTCACTAAACAGGGACCCATCTTCCCTGTCTGGCCCTGTCCTTCATCCCCCTGCCCCTTGTCTTGACCTCCACACCACATCTCCTACTCCCACCTCTCCTTCTCCTTCTTTCTCCCCTGGACCTCCACTCTAACCTCTCTCTTCACCACTTTCTCAAGTAATTCCTTGAGACCACTTTATTCCAATGTCTCCTACTTTGCTGCACCCTCCCCCACCCTATGTCTCTATTCCACCATGCCACCTAACAGTTCCCTATGCAACACAACTTACAATGTCACTCAGTCACCCCAAAGCTACCTGGCATCTTCTTCCTCTGCAGAAGCTCCATTCTTCACAGATGGATACTCCCTATTCCCAACTTCTTCCCTGCCCTCCTCACACCTGATATAACCAGACACTCACCCTGAGGGGGAGGCTTAATTGGCCCTTTTCTCCCCCTCCTGGACTCCACTTTAATGTCCCAGACACAGAAGAGCGGAGCTGGGGATGTGGCTCAAGTGGTAGCACGCTCGCCTGGTATGCGTGCGGCCCAGGTTCGATCCTAAGCACCACATACAAACAGAGATGTTGTGTCCGCCGAGAACTAATAAATAAATAAATAAAAAAATATATATATATATATTTAAAAAGGAGCAATTCTCGACCTGGTCCTCATTGGATCAGACATATTGGCAGCAGCTGGCAGGGTAGCAGAAAGAGGTAGCCACCCATCTTTACTACAGACTTACCTGTATCTGCATCTTGACTGTCAATTAGCCCATCTAGGAATTTTAATACTTATGTTAAGTATTAAATATATTAAATCTTTTTCCCAGTAGAAGTTTTATTGAGAAGTCTGATTAAGGACAGAAGTTTCCTGACAAAGTACAGATGAAATGAAGTATACCCAAGGCACCAAAAATACCCAGAAACCCACAATTTGTTATTCTTAGCTCTTTTTCTCTCAGTTTGGCCTGAATTATAAACCTGATCAATATATTGAAGAAACATTTTACCCTGGAAAATGCTGAGTGGTAATTCTACTTGACCTTCCTCCCCCCTGGTTCTGTGCAGCTGAGAAAGCCGTCTATTGTCTTTCTCTCAAAGTGGATTTCCTCTCAATCCTTGCTCATTCTTCTGAAGCTGTGCTGTTGAGCACCTGAACTGCTTGCTGCTCATCTGAGATGTGCTGAAGGGTGTGTTACACTCTAGGGGTGCTGGGTTCATCGTCTCTGTTCAACAAAGAATTGAAGAACAGGACACAGAGCTAGCAAGCAGGAAGCAGGTTTATTGCAAAAGTGACAGAGAAACAGATTCTCCAAACAGAAGGGGCCCTGGAGCTGGGAATCTGGTGGGGGAGTTTGGGTCTATTCTTTATATGGTCTCTGGAATTTCCTGGTTTCTTAGCTCCTCCCCTGTCCAAGTGCTCCTCACTATTATTGACTGGTGCCCCCTCTGTCCGTCTGTTTTAGTCTTTCTATTGGATCCTCCACTTAGAGGATGAGTGTCTGACTGGGTCCCCCCTTGTGTCCAGGAACACTTTCATCAAGCAGGAGGTTGATCTCATCAAAGACCCTCTCCAAGCTCCTTTGTTCTGGCCCTGCCCCCACCTCCTCACTGCCCTCTTGCCCTGGCTGCCTAAGCCCTCCTACATCTCCCTCAAGTGCCAAATACATACCAGATTCCAAAGACTTAGCTTATTGAGAATGTAAGATATTTCATTTAAAAACACTGATTACAGAGGCTGGGGTTATGGCTCTGTGGTAGAGTGCTCGCCTCGCACGTGCAAGGCCCTGGGTTTGATCCTCAGCACCACATAAAAATAAATAAATAAAATAAAAAGTTATTAAAAATGCATGTTTTAAAAAGTTTAAAAAATATTGATTACATGTTGAAATGCTAGCATTTAGACTTATTTTGGGATGTACTAAGTGAAATAATAGAGGTCATTAACATTAATTTCACTTGTTTCTTTGTACTTTTTTTATCTATTATAAATCTTAAAATTACATATTTGGTACACTTACTTTTATTAGACAGCACTGCTTTAAGGCTCCTGAAGGCCTCCTCTATTACCTTAAAAAAAATTTTTTTTTTCAATACTGGGGATTGAAGCCAGGGGTGCTCTACTACTGAGTGACATCCCCAGCCATTTTTATTTCTTATCCTGAGATGAGTCTTGCTAAGCTGCCCAGGATGGCTTCAAACTTGTGATTCTCCTGCCTCAACCTCCTGAGTAGCTGGGGTCATGGGCATGTGCCACTGTGCCCGGCTATGACCTTCTTTTGGTACTCATTATAGTGACTAATTCCTTCCTTTTTCAGTAACTGTTTAGATTTGGAAGGTAAAATAGAAAGTTGTACTTTCACTTTACAATCTTTAAATCAAGAAAAGAAAGAAAGAAAGATAATGAAAGTCAATTCAATTTTTTTAACTCATTGGATTGGTGCTATAAAATTAGGTAAAGTGAGTAGCATAGGAGGGAGCCTTTATGGTACCTGTAAAGAGGATAAAGGAGAGAAGAATATAAGAATTGTTCTGGAGAGGAACTCATACACATGAAGAATCAGGACAAATAACTGGATTGTCACCAGACGAAGGTCCAAGGAAGTCACCCAGAAGGGAGAAGGGGACCTCAAGTCATCCCTGGCAGGTTCCTGACTTATGCCACAGAAGGGAATTTCAGGATGTATCAAAAGAAGCTCAAATAAAGCTTTATTTAGTTGAGCAACAAGGTTTATTTGGGAAAGCAAACAATAGAGCGGGGTACATACTCAAAGGGAGAAGGAATGCTGATTGGGTGGGGTGCTTGARGGTGAGATGTGGTTTTGGGGTCTTGGGCTTTTCCTTTTTTAAAATTTTTTTAAGCTGTTGATAGACCTTTATTTTATTTATTTATTTATATGGGGTGATGAGAATCGAACCCAGTGCCTCACACATGCCAGGCAAGTGGGCTACCGCTGAGCCCCAGCCCCAGCCCCAGCCCGGGGGGCTTTTTCTTTTTAAGCAAATATTGTAAATATCGAAGATGAGAAGCTCGTGGGGGTTGACCTCAGCTTGGTGAGTTCAATTCTTTTACTCCTGGAGCCCAGGGTGRGTCGGGGTGGTGGTTCTCTTTAGAATCTCTAGGTTGATGTCATCCACTCAATAAATAATGTTTGAAATATACCTACATCTTCAGTCTCTAACAATATTTCCCCTTTGCTTTATTGAGTCTAAAGAAAATATGTTGTATAAGCCAGCAATGTATGTAGTAGACATTAATCATGTAGACTCACAATACTCTAAGATTCAAGARATTTTTAAGAATTTGTGTCTGGAGGAAAACGGGTTTGAAGAATAAAAGTGAGATGTTCATGGGACTCCCCACATTTAAAATTAGTTTCTTTTCCATTCCCTGTTCGTCTCCTTTGTACCTATCCTTATTCCTTCTATCCCACCTCAGGATGAGGTGGTGCATGCCTGTAATCTCAGTGACTCCAGAGACTGAGGTAGGAACATTGCAAATTGTAGGTCAGCCTGGGCAGTTTAGCAAGCCTTGGTCTCAAATAAAAATAAAAAAGGTTTGGGGATGTCTCAGTGATAGAGGGCCTCTGGGTTCAATCACCAGTACCAACAACAAAAGAAATAGAACAATGTATTACCATCTCCCCTCCTCCCTATCTCTCTAGGTTTTGATTATTTTTTTTTTGGCTACCCTAACCTAATTTTCTTTTTCTATACCAATTTAAAACTCCTCCCCTAATAGAATGTGGCTATTGAAAAGAAAAACTAATGGGRGATGAGAATGGGGGTGTGTGTGATKGGAAGGTAAAGAAGATCTAAAGAAACTTAAGAAAGATGTTTAATTAAATTGAAAAAGACCTAGAGATCACCCGATTTCACTTCTCACTCAAACCTCCAAATACTTATTTGTGGAATTAAAGCAGTTTGTGCTGTTAAAGCATCCCTGTTCATATAACATACCAAATATTTAAAGGGAAATTGGAAACATGCTCTGAAAATGTTTTTCTTTTCTTTAAATATATTTTTGTAGTTGTAGATGGACATAATATCTTTATTTTATTTATTTATTTTATGTGGTGCTAAGGATCAAACCCAGTGCCTCGCACGTGCCAGGCATTGAACTACAGCCCCAACCCCAAATATATTTTTCAACAGAGAAAAAAYATGAAGAAGAAAAGTCACGAGGGCTTTGTTTATGAACCTAAAGAAATTCTGAAACCCCCCCCCCTCTCAAAGTAACAAATTGTTACAAATCACTGTGGGGAAAAATATAGTTATCCTAGGGCATACATGACTCAACTTGTCAGCTCTCCGGACGGTTCAGCCATGTCAAGGAACCCAGGTAAGATATTAGTATTAAATTATTATAMTATTCCCTCTTAATATATTTTTTCTTGGTATTGAGGACATAAAATTGGGCATTAAGTATATTATTTGAAAATTAACTGTAAGAAGACAGTGGCAAATCTGTTCATCCAAGGTCTTAGGTGGCAAAAATCTAAAACTGACTTATTTCATGGTACCAAGTTTCTTTCTTTTAGCCCTGAATTAATTAAGATGATCCCAAATAATCAAAGTAGAGGGCTGAGGATGTGGCTCAAGCGGTAGCACGCTCGCCTGGCATGCGTGGGGCCTGGGTTCGACCCTCAGCACCACATACAAACAAACTAAAAAAAAATATTAAAATTCTCTCTCTCTTAAAAAAAAAAAGTAGATCAAAGTTATCTTTTAACAAAAACTTGTCTTTAAATTTGACCTGACAATATTTGTATTGTCAAGGTAGGGATCATTCAGATTAGGTTCCATCTGGATTTTACCAATATAAGGAAAGATAAATTGGCAATTTTGTTTTGCGGAAACATGTGATTCCTAAATGTCTGGGAATGCTGGCAAACTAAAGCCTTCTGTGTTTGTTTTGGTACTGGGGATGGTACCTGGGGGCACTTTAGCACTGTGCTATATCCCCAGGCCTTTGTATTTTTTATTTTGAGACTGTGGCTTGCTAAATTGCCAAGACTGGCTCAAACTCTTGCTTCAGCCTCCTGAGTAACTGGCATCACCGGCACGCACCACCGGGACCAGCTAAAGCCTTGTTTTGAGCATTAAGGGAGAGTGTTGGAATTAGATGTATTGGGTCTTATGCTTTTAGGTGAAAAAAATATGCTAGATACCTGTAAGGATTTACTAACATTAATTTCAGTTGAAAACATATTACATGCCGCTGAGAGACTGAAATTGGAAAAATTTTTTTTTCTGTTCCATGTTTATTATAAGTAATGTGTAGTCCTGGGATTAAACCCTGGGCCTTGCACATGCTAGTTTGTACTGTACCACTGAAACCATTCTCCCAGCCCAGAAAAAGTGGAATTTCAAAGCATTTTAATAGTTGTTTGCCGCCACACCAAATGTGGTACCTATTTTCTAGAACCAACTGGGCCAGGCATGGTAGTGCCACCTGTAATCTCAGCGGCATGGGAGGCTGAGACAGGAGCATTGGGAGTTCAAAGCCAGCCTCAGTGAGGTGCTAAGCAACTCAGTGAGACCCTGTCTCTAAATAAAATACAAATTAGGGCTGGGGATGTGGCCCAGTGGTCAAGTGCCCCTGAGTTCAATCCTAGTACCCAAACAAAAACCTCGTTCACTAAAATTTTACATTTTATCTCTGTTACAGTCATTTCTCAGAATGTGATATTTTTGTCACCTAATGAATACCTTCTAGAATTCATACTTTTTAAAAATTTTTTTAGATGTTGATGAACCTTTATTTTATTAATTTATTTATATGCAATGTTGAGAATCGAACCCAGCCTCACACATTGCTAGGCAAGCGCTCTACCACCGAGCCCCAGCCCCAGCCCCTATACTTCTTCTTCTTTTTTATTTATTTATTAAAAAACTTCTTTAGTTGTAAATGGACACATATCTTTATTTATGATGCTGGGGATTAAGCCCAGTGCCTCACGCATGGGAGGCAAGCGCTCTTAACACTGAGCTACAGCCCCAGCTCTTGCTTTTTTAAAAAAAATCAGGATGTAATTCATAAACCACAAAGTTCACCGTTTTGAGACACGCTCAGAAGTTAAGCAATCGTCCCCACTCTTCTAACCCTTTCCAATACGTTTTCCCACTCGCTACTCCGCAGAATCCTCAGTGCTGAAGGCTGTCTTCCATCTCCGAAGGCATGTCGCCCCTTGGCCTTGCAACATTTACCTAAAATGCTTTCTTACGTTCGTGTTTATTTGCATGCCGAGAACTCCGCATACTTTCTGCATTCACTGTATAGGTGAAACCCCCCTGGTGCCTGGTATTTGGGCGCAGCGGCCTACTAGTGAGCACCCCACGCCCGCCAAACAATGAAAAGCAAGGGGTCCTGCAAGGAAGAGTCGCCCCACTTCCTTCCCACACTTTTCCTGGCCCAGGAAACACAGTTTGTCTTCATAACCGTTAGTTTATGATGCCGCTTAAGAAACGGGCCTACGATGACCGAGATCAGTGGTGAGTGCAGAGGTGCCTTTAGAAGACTCCAAAGGCCGAGGAGCGCAAGGCTTGCATAACTGGGCSGGCGGGGCGGGCGGCGCATGCGCCCCGGGCGGCTAAGGAGATCGTCTTCGGAGGCTGCGCCCGTGTGCACTTCCTATTGGCTACAGCCAGCCCACAGGACGTCTCCCGCTCAACTCTCCCGCCCAGAGCGCGCTTTTCC